CACCACCACCTGTGTCGCCGCGCTCTTGGTCGCTGCTCGCGCCCGCACCGGTCCCCGCTCCCCAGCAGCCAGCACCAAAACCGGCGCTCGCTCCCGACCTTCGCTTTGCTCCCTCGCTCCTCGACGTCCCCGCTTCGTCCGCGTCGCACGGCTCCGCTCGGTCCCCGCCGCCGCCGCGCTCGCCCTCGCTCCCGTCCACGCCCCCACCGCTGCTGCAAGTGCCGCAAACGCCACAAGGACCCATTCGAGCCAACGCGACCACGCCGCCGCACCGCGCCCCGTCTCCTCGAACGCAAGCCGGTGCTGCTCGCGCCTTCCGCGTGCCTCGGCCGCGCGCATTGACGCTCGCGACGGCCACCGCGCAGCCGCCATTTGCCCTCTCGGCGTCGCTCCTGCCCAGTCCGCTCCCCGCCTCGCCGCGCACCACGACCCCACCCGCCATCTCGACGTCCAGCGCGCACGACATGCTCGGCCTCAATGGCCTCACGTCGCTTGCGCCGCCGCCGCTCTCGTCGCGGCTGCGCACCGTGTCGCTAACTGTCCGCACCGACTTGTCGCCCTTGGGCCCGCCGCCATCCCTGCCTCCGCTCTCGTCGACATCGTTAGCCGGTCTGCTCGCGCCCAATTGTAACGGCGCGACGACGCCGCGGTCGCCGTTCGGCCCCGTGTCGTCCGGGACGCATCCTGCGCACGCGCCGTTCAGTCCCCTGTACTCGCCTACTTATGCATCGACGCACCCGCACGCGCCGTCGCTCCAGCAAGCGCATTCGCACCACGCCAGTTCTGCTGCCGCGCCGCTCGCCGGCTACGATCTGTCCATGTCCATGTCGGCGCCGTCGCTAACGCACCTGCTCGACACTGGCGGCCTCATGTCACCGCGTGCTGTTGGTGGGCCCACGGGATTCCAGGGACTCGAAGAGTCTGCCGCCCGAGCGCGTGTCATGTCGCTGTCTCGCGCGCAATTGCATACGTCAATGCCCGCCTTGCCGCTGACGCCGACGCACGCAACCGGTAGCGACTCGAACCTGTCTCTGTCGCTCGCGGATCTCGACCCGACCACGCTCTCGGTCCTGCACATGACCGCTGCGTCCGTGTCGACACCCGGAGCGTCGCAGTCGACACTCGCCGACTACTTTGCCGCAGCGGCCGCCGTTGACGACTCGGCGCGTGCCCCGCATGTGCGCCGTGCCACCGACCCGGAAGCCGCAGCCGCAACGGACACCACCGCCATGAATCCGGCCATTGACCGCGCCGCGACCACGTCCCCGGCACCCGACGATGACGTGCTGCGCACGTTCAACTTCCTGGGTCTCGACGACGCCGAGTCCTTCTCGGACGGTGACCCGCGCGGCGGATCGGCCTCGTCTGACAGCCAGCAGGGTCATCGTGAGCGTGCCACGTCGAGTCGGCGTCCGCCGCACTTGCAGCTGACGCCGCCCCCGGCGAGGCAGCGGCTACCGTCGGGACCGCAGTCGGCAACGCTGCCGCGCAGTCCGCTCAGTTTTGGGCCGCTTTCAGCAGGTGCTACACCGGGCAGTCGTGCACCGGGACCGACGGACCGCGTGCGTTCGATTTCGCTGCTGTCGAGCCGGTACTCGGATTGGGATCCGATGCCCGCGGCGGTGCCGCGGTCGCCCGGGACGCCGTTAGGCGCGGACGTGTTGACGGGCCGAGCATCGCCGCGGTCGGCTGGGTTTCCGCCGTCGTCGAGAGCATATGCTGATGTACGTTTTGGTTTTCGCGTTCGGAAAGGGGTGGAGAGGACAGCCCGATGACTGACGGCCTGCTTTTTTCAACCAATGGGTGTAGCACGTCGCCACGACACCGTCGCCGTCGCTGCCGTTTTCGCCACCTGCGTTCACGGGCACGTCCCCAGGGCACCATTTTGACTCGTACATGTCGCACCCGAGCGCATCCACGGTGGCACGGCCCATGCCGACGCCCGTGTCGGTGACGAGCACGAGCACGGCGCTGAGCGCGACCCCGCCTGGGCTGTCGCCGACGGCAGCGTATGCGACCCCCGCGCCGAGCCACCACCACTATCACCCACAAGTGCCCACCCGGTCGCTGTGGATCGGCAATCTTGACGCGGCACACGTCACTTCGGCCGAGCTCATGGCCCTGTTTGCGCCGTTTGGCGATATCGAGTCGCTGCGCGTGCTTGCAGACAAGGAGTGTGCGTTTATCAACTACTACCGCATCGACGACGCGCGGCGCGCGCGCGAGGCCATGGCCGGTGCGATTGTCGGTGGGCAGCCCATCAAGATCGGGTACGGCAAGGTCGCGAAAGCCGAGCAGTACGGTGCCGCCACGGCCAACGGGCCGGTGCCGCCCAACGCGCCGAAACCAGCGAGTGTGGCTGCCCTTGCGCCGATGCCAGCGAACATGGCCGATAACACGACGCCGTCGCGCGCACTGTGGGTCGGGAACTTGCCGGCGCATTTCACGGTGCAGCAACTGTCGGCGCTGTTTGCCGGTTTTGGGCCGATTGAGTCGTGCCGTATTCTCACGCACAAGAACTGCGGGTTTGTCAATTTCGTGCATGAGGCCGATGCCGTGCGTGCCCGGCGGGTCATGCATGGCCGCGATGTGGGTGGGTTGCTGGTCCGGATCGGTTTCGCGCGCGTACCAACATCCCCGCCCAAGCAGCCGTCCGGCGTCGATGTGAACACGACGCTGCTCACGAATATCAATGGTACGCTCGTGCCGGGCGTCATGCCGTATTTCCCGGCGGCCGCGGCGAGTAGCGACGGCGGCGAGATGCACCAGCAGCAACAGCATCAGCACCACGCGCATCAGTTCCAGTACGATCACCGCGGGGGTATGCGGCACGATTCGCCCGTCGCGTTCATGAACGGGCAGTACCATTACCACGAGCAGCCGGAGCACCAGCAGCAGCAGCACCTCGTGGGCGCGCCCGCCGACGAGGCCAAGTCGCTCTCGCCGCTGCTCGTGCCCGTCGACGCGCCTGTGGTCACCGCCGAGCTCAACGGCGACCACGAGTACCTGGTCACTATCCCAGACTTGTCCGAGGATGTGCGGGGTGGTCCCGAAACTGACTCTCGACGTCTCGACCTGGCACGTGTGCGCGACCTGCGTCGTCGCCTCGATGCCGCGGCTGCGCTTGACGGGTCCGCGACCGAGACTGTTGCCGACGTCTACGCGGCGTGCGCGGCCGACCTGGTTCCGCTCGCGCTGGACTACACGGGCAACACGTTTGTGCAGAAGCTGATCGAGCGCGCACCCGACACGCTGCGGTCGGAACTCGTGCACCGTCTGGCACCCGACTTGGCCGCAATCGGCATCCACAAGCACGGCACCTGGGTCGTGCAAAAACTAATTGAGGCCGTGCACGCGCACCACGTCGCTTGCCCGACCGACCGCGCCGCGCAGAACGCCGTTATGACCCTCGCGTCGTCTCTGCGCCCGTACGCGGCCGCGTTGCTCCTCGACCCGTTTGGCAACTACGTCGTGCAATCATGCCTCAAGCTTGGCGTCAACGACGACGGGGTTACGGGCGCTGCCGCATTCGTGTTTGATGCCATGACCGCGTGCGCGGCCACGATTGCCCGTGGCCGGTTCGGCGCACGTGCAATGCGCGCAATACTCGAATCCCCCGCGGCGCCCGCGCGGGCGCGGAAGCGGGTTGCGCAGGCGTTACTCCCGTACGCGACCGACTTGGCCATGGACACGAATGGGTCGTTGCTCGTACAGTGGCTCGTCGAGACGTCGGGTTTGCCCGGGCGGCACGCGGCGGTCGCGCAGATGCTTGCCCCCCACGTCACGCAACTCGCCGTGCACAAGGTCGCGTCAACGCTGCTGTATAAATTGGTCGCGCAGGACGTCGACCCGGCCGCGCGCGACGCGGTCCTGCAAGCCGTGCTTGGCGACGCCCCACTGGACGGTGGCGAGAATGGCGACGCCGCGTCGGTGCTCGACGTGATTGTTGCCGACGCGACGGTCGGCGCTCACCTCGTGCAGCGCCTCCTCGCGTGCTGTGCGGCGCACCCGGACGACCGCGCCAAGTACATGGACCGCGTGGCCGCAGCGATGGTGCGCCGGCACCATGCAATGGCGGCCATGTACGGTGTGCCCGCGATGGCCTACCACCACCACGCGTACGCGGCGCCCTACTACGCGCCGCCGCACGAGAACATGTACGGCGCGCCGCCCACGGCGCCGGGGTACGTCCAGCTGCCACCGTTCCCGTCGCAGCAACAGCCGATGCAGTCGCAACCGTTGCAGCCGTACTCGGGGTACGCCGCCAACCCGTACGCGGGTGGGTACCACCATGCCTTCCCGCCGCTGCCAGGCACGCCGACGCGTGCGGCCCACGCCGGGTTCGCCGAGTAGGTTAGTTGGAGATAGAGAGCGTGCACACGGGCCTGGCCTGGCGCCGGGTCCCTGAGGTTGTTTTCTTCAGACTTTGGTCCCTTGTGTGCTGCTTTTCTCTTTTTTTGTTTTGGTTCCCTGTCGACTCTTTGGCTACTCCGTTGTTTTTCTTTCTTCCTTTTCCGTTCCCATTCCATACGGGGGCCGGCTAGCTAGCCGTGCTCCTCCCCAACGCACACGCTTGTGTTTAGGACGTAGTCCATTGTGACGTAGCCGATCCCAACCAACGTCAAGCTCCTCCACTCTTTGAAGTTCTATTATTATTTCGTTTTCGATGTCTCGACTTTTTGTTATTTCCCTGCATCCCCTGCTTGATTTCCTGACGTTGACCGACTTTCTTTACCTCTTGTTCGTTTTCTTTTGGCGTCACTACCCCACGTTCCCGCTGCGTCGTTGTTCCGGGTTGTTGTCCATGGCGTTTGGAAACACACACGCATTTCGCCTCGATTTCCTGTTCAGTGTTAGCAACGAGGTCATGTCGGATCGTGGCTCGACAGTTGGATGCAACCCAACGATTCGCCGACTCTTGCCGGTTCGAAAAGGACGCAAGGACGAATCGACACTGCAATCGTATAAAGCCAAAATAGGCAGGTCACACAAACATGACAGCCCGACTAGCTCAGTCGGTAGAGCGTGGGACTTTTAATCCTAAGGCCGCGGGTTCGAGCCCCGCGTTGGGTGGTTGTCTTTTTTGAATTCAGGAGGTCGCTTTAACCTCTTCATTGAACATCTTTTTGTCTAAACCTCCTCCTCTTGCCAGCGATTTCAATTTCCTGGTCCTTGAGCTTACGACTTCCCTTTTGATGCGTTGTGGTTTGGGTGTTACAGGGTGTCTACCAGGATGGGTGTGGCCAGAAGTACACAGAGGAAACTAAAAAAGTGTGACAACTTGGCATGCATCATCAAACACGACATGTGTTGAGCCAGCTGCCAAGTTGCCCAAAAGCGTGCTCAACTTCTCCAATTGCAAAAAGGACAGAAGTGGTGGCCTCAGCAAGAGCAGCTGTGGTGCATGGCTTGTGCTCTGCTGTGTGAATGCCTGAGTGAGATTGTGCTACATGGGCGCGGCCACATGCCAATGCAGAACACCAATGTGATATGTGTTTCCACGTCACAGTGGTCCATTTCCACTACCGCTTGCACACATCTGGCACTTTTTCTTCTGAATGAATAATAGAAACGGAACTTGTAAATTATGGCAACGTCGGTTCGAGCGCCCGACTAGCTCAGTCGGTAGAGCGTGGGACTTTTAATCCTAAGGCCGCGGGTTCGAGCCCCGCGTTGGGTGCATGACAATGCTCTCACACGTTGAGATTTTATCATTCCGGCCCCTCACTGGTGGGCACCTCTTTTTCCTGATTTTGTACCAAAAGTTGGCTGCTGGAGTGCCCTTCGGGACTTCTCGAGCATGTCCCTGTGGCCTTTTTGCTAACCGATCCCTCTTGCCTCTTCCAATCCAGCTTGCTTGATACCTCTCGCTTTGAACGGAGCGGCTTTTGAGACAACTGTTTCGCGATGCTGCTATTTCTCTCTTGTTCAGGTCGTGTCCTGTCAATTACGTTGCCCATTGCCAACACAACCGCTCCAACCTGGCGCATCTTGAACCACGATGCTCGCCCGCATCATCCAGCCCGCGCGGTCTGCAGTGCGGTCGACTTTCCCCCACGCCAAGCGCCATTCATCAAGCGCCCAGCTGCACCCGCTCCTGCGCAATCCCGTCCCGTGGCCCGCCCCACCCGCGCGTGCTCCACGTCCGCTCGTCGACGTCCCCTCGCTCGCCCAGCTCGCCGGATTCCAGCGCGTGCCTGACCACGTTGATGCGGCCGTCGATGAATTGCTGACGCTCGTCGAGCACGGCCTCGTTGCTGGTACGCCCGCGCATGACCCGCTTGTGACCCTGCGCGATGCGTACCACACGGGCGATAGCGCGGCAAGGGCGGCCGTGACGCTCGACGATTTGCGCGATGGGAACGAGGAACCGTGTGCGCACGAACCGCCGTACCTCGCGCTGAGCAACGGCGAGGTTCGCGCCGGCATGTATGTCATTGAGGGCGGCCAGGTTGTCAAGCGTGGCGACAACACGGTCGAGGAATGATTTTGCAGGTGTATCATGCAATAAACGCTCCTTCCAGTTGATCCACTTCGCTTGTTCTACTCCAGCCACCATGAGTTGCAACTCGCATACTGGACGAAAGTGGCTTCGGCTCACTCCCTTCCGACGGCTCACTCCCTTCCGACACTCTCAGTCTCGACTTCGACTGGGCGATCCAGCTGTAATCTCCAGATGAGCAGAGGACGTTGAGCAGAATGTTCAGTCAGAGCACAAAATTGATTGGTCACGTGCAAGCCCGATTAGCTCAGTCGGTAGAGCGTGGGACTTTTAATCCTAAGGCCGCGGGTTCGAGCCCCGCATCGGGTAGTTGTTTTTTATCGGTTCATTCCGATGCTCTGAATTGCGTGTAGAACAGTTTGTGTTGCAGCTTTTTGTGGGGGCATTCCCCTGAGCTGAACGAACCGCACACATCAAGCCGACCTCACAACTCATAATGATGTACTGACTACTTTGGCGCACCAACCGTATCATGCGACCACTTTGGCCCCTGCTTGTACACGCGCACCATCGGCACCAGCGGCAACTCCTTTGGCCGGTCCGGGAACTCGAAATTGAGCGCAAACCACAGTGGCGCGTCACGCTCAATCCTCAAGATCCGGTCCTCAAGCATGCCCAACACTTTGGCCACGTGCGCGACCCACACGGTGCGCGGCTCGCTCACCGTCCGTTCATACAGCACGCCCTTGGTGAACTGGAACGCCGGTTCCCCGTCCTGGTCGGGAGGTCCAACCACGTCGACTTGTGGCAGGTTGTGCGTCTCGCCGCGGCCGTTGAACGACAGGTAGAAAAGCGCGCGGAAGTCGTGCGCGGGCGGGTAGGTCAGGTCGAGCACGTCGGTGAAGTGCGACGGGTGTAAGTCCGACCAGTTCCGCAGGAGCCAGTTCTGATAGCCCTCTTCGATTTCGCGGAGTCGTCGGTGGCAGATCTCGATGCGGTCGGCGAGTGCGATCGTCTTGCTCGAAAACGACTCTGTTGGTGCGATTGCGGGTGATGAGCCGTGAACGCCCGCAAAACCGGGTAGAGACCGTGACCACGGTACCAATACGCATGTTAAGAAACGTCCAGATGTTGTAGACGCGCTCCTGGTACGCGAGCGGCACGTTGTCGAGCTCCCAGCGCGACTTGCGCAGCGCTGCTGGAATCAGCGATCGTGCGAGAGGCGAGTCGGGGTTATGCACGACTTGCCGCCGCATCTGCGTCGACCGGTCGATTCGCTGCACGTCGGTCCGCGCACAGGTACTCGGCACGTCATCGGCGTTCTCGTTGTCGTCGCCACTCGAGCCGAAAGTGGGGCGGTCGCGGTCGCGGAGGTCTGGACAACTGTCAATTTCACGACCAGATTGACGGCAATTTGGGGAAGAATGCATACCATTCGAGGCTAACCCAGCACCTGCGGTCCGTGATGAGGACCTGCTGTTAGGCGATGTCGAAGACGGTGCCAGGAACTCGCGCCGGTTGCTCAGCGCACTGCGCTGCTTGTTTTCGGCAATAAATTGGCCGACGAGAGCCTTGACCTGGATAGATGGTCGTGCGTGCGTGCCCGCGTGCAGCGTGCGTGGGCAGGTTCCATTTCGCATCGATGAGTCGTTGACTTGTCGAAATTCGGTTGTAGCAGGTCGGCACGCACTTGAGTCGAGTCGAGGCCGCTCAGGATGACACTGCGCGACGCTGATGCCATGTTGAACGTGATGATTGCTTTGCAGCAAGTCAGAGCTGCGCTTGCGGACGAGCTGAAAGGGATTCGAGGTGTCGACTTCGCGTTGGTGGGTCGAGAGTGATCGAAAGCACGATGTGATGTTCGTCAAGGGTGTGGAGGAAGACCCGACCTGTCCGCGGTCGTCAGCGGTTCCACCATCTCACGACACATTATATCACACTTTTGACGGTGGCCTCACATCGGCACACGAGCGGCACGAGCGGCAGCAGGCGACAAAGGGCAGCTCAAAACGAGATATCACTTGCTATGTATGCGAGAACACGGACCAAGAAAACAGAACCGACACGAACAACTTATCAAAATGAAGCGCGGCCTCCTCCAGCCGCCGACTCCCAGCCGGCCACGCGCGAACGTGCACCGGCACGACTGCGCCAGGCCCAACACGACCGCTTTAGCCGAGCTTCCACGTCGGCATCCACGAGCGGCCCTGCGCAAACTCGGCCGCGGGCCAGTCGAAGCCAAACGTCATGGGCGCAAAGTAGACAAACACGCCCGTGACTGCGGCAATCACGGCGATCCAGGCGACATGCCGCGCGACCTTGGGTGTCATATCGAGCACGTGGTCGAGCACAAACGCCGCGAGCAAGATCGTAAAGTAGAGCGCCGGGAAGTAGTGGTGCAGGTAGGTGACGCGGCCCATGATGCCAAACGGCACGTAGTGCAGGAACCAACCGGCCACAAGCCACTTGCCAGCAAAGATGAACTTGGCCCAAGCGGGCGAACTCAGGTTCCAGTCGGCCGTCGCCATCTTGCGCTGGAACTTGGCGTGGTAGAGCGCCCACAGCGCCGCGTAGGCGCCGAGCGACGCGATCGCACCCCACCAGACGAGCGGGTTGCCGAGCATGTAGAATTTGATGTCGTTGTCGCCCCAGCTGCACATGCGGATCCCAACCTGCATGAGCGGCCACTCGGAGGGCGAACTCGTCAGACCGTCGGGCTCCTTGTCCGGGTCAGGCACGAGCGCATTGTTGCTCGTCCACATGGCCACGTTCAGGTGCGCAAAGTCCTTGAGGAACTGCGACTTGAAGTGCGACGCGTCGGCCTTGGGCAGTCGGTCGTTCCAGTGGTTCTCAATGTTCCACATGTTGTTGATGTCGCCGTTGCGGTCCTTGCGCTTGTCGCAGACCACCTCGGCCTGCTTGAACCCCCACTGCGGCAGGTTCACCGAGTGGCTGCGCAGCAGGCAGCCCGAGTTCTTGTGCCGCAGCCGCAGCCGCGTCGTGAGCGTGTGAATCACGTCCACCTTTTTGCCACGAGACAAGTCGTCGACAATCTCCACGACCCAGTAGTCGTTCGAGTCGCCGACCGTCCTGTTGCCGTAACCCGAGACTTCGTTCATGTTCTTGGTCACGGGCCCGGCCACCGGGTGCGAGTGCAGGTTCTTGCCCGTCGACGCGTGCACGAGACGCACAATGTCGCCATTGCGCACGTACTCGATCGGACGGTCCACGGCGGCGGCTGTCTCCTTGGTCTCGGCGGGAGCGGCAGCCTCGGCCACGGGCGCGTCGTCCTTGGATGCAGCGGCGTCCGACGCTTCGGCCTTGGCCGCGCCATCGGGCGCGGCGGCCGATTCCGCAGGGGGCGCTTCCGGCACCGCGTCCATGGCCGCGTCCGACCCGCCCTTGGTCACTTTCGCGGGCGACCCGTACTTGGCGTCGTCCTCGGCCTCGGCCTCGCGCGTCTTGACAATGAACCAGTCGTTGTTAGCGTCCTTGTGGTGGTAACACGTCACCTGCTGCTGCTTGGACCCGTGCGGATACGTCTGCACGTGCGAGTGCAGCAACCCGCCACCAAACCCAAAGTTCTTGAGTGTGAATTTGGCGCCGTAGGCCAGCTCGAGCGGCGCGTCCT